TTGGCAGTTTCTTAAAAAAAGTTAAAACATGAAAATACCATATGACCCAGAATTTCACTCCTAGGTTTCTACCCAACAGAAATGAAAACATAAGTGCTTGCAAATACGTCTACACAAATGTTTATAGCAGCATTTTAAAATTTTATCCCCAAGGTGGAAGCAATCCAAGTGTCCATCAGCTGGTGAATGGATAAATGTGAATGTGGCATATCCATCCAACAGAGTACCTAATATATTCAGCAATAGAAAGGAATGAGTCACTAACAGATGCTGTAACATAGATGGACCTCAGAAACATTATGCCAAATGTAAGAAGTCAGATACAAAAGACCACATACTATATAATTCTGTTTATAGAAAATGTATAGAAAACACAACTCTGTGGAAAGGGTATTAGTGGTTTCTTGGAGCTAGAACTGGGAAAGGGAGCTGACCACAGATGGACATGACAGATCTTTTTGGTGTGTGGCAGAAATGTTCTACAAGTGTATTGTGGTAATAGTTGTACAGCTATAAATTTGGGGAAAATTATATACCTAAAATGAGTAAATATGGTATGTAAACTATACTTCAGTAAAGCAGTTGCAAAATATGAATAGTCCCAATGTAAAGGATATGTATAAATGACATATAGCAGCTTTAATCAAACTAGCCTCAAACTAGAAACAACCCAAATGCTCATCAACAATAAGTAGATAAACAATTTGTCACATAATCTATAATGGTATACTACTCAGCAGTAAAATGAAATGAATTACTGACACTTGCAACAACATAGATGAATCTCAAAAAAATTATGCTGAATGAAAGAAGCCAGACACAAAAGACTCCTTACTATATGATTGCAATCATAAGAAATTCTAGAACAAGACAAAATGACAGTGATAGAAACCAACTCAATGGTTGTTTCTAGGGGTCAGGTTGTGGGGGAGGAGCCTGCAAAAGATGTAAGGTAGGTTTTTGGGATGGGAATGGTTTGTACCTTGATTGTAGTAATGGTTATATGACTGAATACATTTTTCAGAATTCATTAAACTGTACACTTAAATTGGCGAATTTTATTATACATAAATTACACTTCAGGAAAGGTGGATGAAAACACAACTCTTCCCTGGAATAAATGGAATAAAAGTATTCTGTGTTGGAGATAATGTATATCTTTTTGTGTTCTACCAAAAATGTGTTGGAAGGTGGGAGGTATGTCCTCATCTTCTTTATAAAGTATCTTTTCCATTGGTGCTGGGGCATTAAATAACTAGATAAATAATTTAGGAACACAAAACAAAATAAATGTTAAAAGAAACCTAAGTCCATGCTACTGGGTAAGGAATTCTTTTGTGAGGTGATGAAAACACTTTAGAATTAGATGGTCATAGGATAACTTTGTGTGTATCCTAAAATAATCACTGAATCATACATACAGGGTGAGATTACTGTTATGTGAATTGCATCTTAATTAAAAAAAACATTAAACATACAAGATCTTCTCATTTTCTTTTTTTTTTACAACATGCATATGAAATGGAGGAAGCAGGGGGAAAGCAATGACAAAGGACTATTTTGAGTATCTTTTTATTTGTGACATTTATTTTTGGCATGTAGCTATTAAATAAGTATGAAAGTAAGAGAAATGTATACTACCACTATCGCTAATGCAACTAACTGCTTTTTAAACTCCCAATCAAATTTTTTTGTAATTGTGAAAAAAAGAATAGTAACCTGTTTATTTTTGAAGTTCCTTGTTGTCCGTAGCCACTTGAAGGCACTTTCTGGTAGAGTAGCTGTCTGTTGGTCAAGTGAGTCTGAGGTTTTATTCTGGGCACGATGGATTCAATATGATTATAATTGAGGCATAAGACCTATAGAAAGAACACCTTATTCATCAGGCATTTAAATATGAAAACTGCTGTATATATATTTTTGGTTTGAGATTATCAACATCCTAAAAACTGTTAAGATGGTATAGATAAAACTTGATCTATACAACATACTTTAATAATATATCAATGTTAAAATGACATAAATTTTTATATCCCAAAAGGTTTGGACTTAGGCTTTGAATGTGTTTTTTATAATCTGACTTGCTGGGAAATGACACGATTTCAAACAAAATAATGGAGACCCTAGAAAGCTGCTCAACAGTCTCAATCTATTTTCCTAACTTCTTCAAGTCTGATATGAATGAATTAACTGTTTAGTTGGAGAGATCACCATTTGCCTATGTTTAAAAGGCCTTGGAAGATAACTCAGCAAAAGGTATAGGACAGGAGGTAAAAAGGCTTTTTTTGCCTTTGAGAAAGGCAAAAAAACTGACAACCTCAGTATCCCCCAATTTCATTCCATACCCACCTCACTATAGAGGCACACCTTCCATCCCACCACCGTACTGCAAAGTAAGAGTTACTGCTTGCAAGACAATCATATAAAACTGAGCAATCCAAAAAATAATTTTGGAAAGTAATACTGTTTCTTGCTTGGTGAAAAAAAAATTTTTAGGAAGGTTTTAAAAATCGATTTAAATCTCATTGATTTCGATTTATGTTTCTCTTCTTGCATAACATAAAAATACATTTTAATCCAAAGTAAAGAAGATTACAACTTGATTTAAAAACCTTGAAAAAAAAATCTGTGAATGACTCACCTTCACATTAGGCAGATAGATTAATCCACTGAATGAGGTAAGATTATTGTTTTGTAGATTCACATTACATACATTTCTAAATTGGTCAACTGGAATCAAATCCACAGTTCTGAATTTAGATAAACACAGTCATAATTTTAATAGGAGAATTATGTAGGTGAATCATTCATGTACAATCCCAAAAACATTTTGAAAATAACTCATCTGACAAATGCTATGAAAAAGAATTGCCTTAGTGTAAAATGTATGGGTCAAATAATTGGATAAATATATGTTTTTGTTGGACACATAGGTAAGAAAATGACATAGAATTTGATTGCTTTAAAAATGTCCATTACCACATAAACATAGCACTATCATAAAAGAAACTTTTAAAACAAACATCTCCAATTTCTTTATAAGGTTACATACATGTTCATGAATTTGATGTTGTAAATCACAAGATTTTTCAGGTTATATGCTTCAGAGAATATATGGGAAACACGTTATTTCTGAAATACCAGGAGAGGTTAGGGATGGGAAAGGAAAGAGGAAAGAAGGCAGGTGAGGTCTTTGAAAAAAGTTTTCTATGCAATCTCCTGAAAATCTTTATGGCATTCCACCTTGTAAGGATGCTTTGGTAATTAAAAAGAATGCTTGATTCCTAGTCCAGAGCTTTACAACTGTTCCACCTTCCTTTGTGCCATGATAGAGAAGAGTATAAAGCTAAATTACCTTGCCTTAACCACTTCTTTAAACAAATCCTAAACCCTGTAGTTATCCTTATGACATACTTTTATCCATTAATAAGTCATTTGTTCAATGTATTTGGTTATTTCCAAGTACAGACAATGTGTTTGGAAAGGCTACAACAAATATGAAAACAAACCATCCCTGCCTCATGAAACGAGATCCATAAAAATTAAAATAAAAAAGGAAAGTAGATATAATATAGTTAGATGTAGTGTGGCATTTTAGGGAAAGAAAAACTGATCTGGGGAAGTCAGGAGTCACTTCACAGTGGAGAAAGACCCTAGAATGACCCTTGGAGAATTTATAGGCGTTTGTCAGGCTAATTAGAAAGAGAGTTTCAGGTAGTGGAACAAGTACAAGCAAGGTAGAAACAGAATCACAGCACCTTGTGATTAAGATTAAGGAACTAGAATATTCTAGAACTTCTGGAGTATAAAGAGTAATGGGCAGTAAAGGGAAGGATTATAAGAAATAAAAATAAGTAATTAAAGAGTCTAACCCTAACCCTAACCCATACAAAGAAATTTTACATTTTATTCTGTAGACAGTGGAAAGCCACTGAACAAGGTTGAGAAGGGAAGTGATCTGATAAAACTTGCATCTTAAAAGGCAGTATGGATAATAAATGGATTTGCAGGGAAGGTTATGAAATACAGAAGAACCAAAACTATCACCAAGAGAGTTTCTAAAATACTTCATTTCCCAATGTAGGCCAGTGGTAGTGACTGTGGAAATAAGAGGGGAATTATGAGACATACGTAACAATATGGACTCTGTAGAACATGGTGATCAATTACAAGTGGAGGACAAAGTAGAGAGAAATGACCCTTAGATTTTTGGGTTGGGCAACAACAGCAGGTGGATATTGTCTTCTCCATGCTATATCTAAAGAGCAACTGAATATTCAAGTAAAGAGCTCAGGTTTGGGCTAAATTTAAAGGGCCATCATATAAATTAAAACTATGGCTAAAGATGTCTGTCCGTGAAGAGTGCAGAATAAGAAAAAGAGAGGAGAGAAAAGAATTTATTTGCCAGGAAGACAGTGAGAAGAGTAGCATCAGAGAAATGGTGGCAGGAAAAGCCAGACTATACTGAGTTAGAGTAATATGATGACATTTTATATTTTAAGACTTATTGATTTATTTTAGAGAGAGGAGAGAGAGCAAGCAGGGGGAGGGAGAAGGAGAAGGAGGGAGAAAAGCAGTCTCTCCGCTGAGCGTGGAGATGCAGGGCTCGATCTCAAGACCCTGAGAATATGATGACATTTTAAATCATAATGTGTGATAATGCATATCAAAGAGTGGTGAAGTTAGCATGAGATTTTGAAGCAGGAAAGATGATTTTCTGAATTACTGGTTATATCTGGATAAGATGTGTATTAAATTATAAAACTTAGAAAATGATATTACATATTTAGCTATAGTATCAAAAAGCATATAATAAAATGATTATACCTGATGGAGGATGAAGTCCAATTTAGTTCTTGCATTTGGGTGAAGTTTGAATGTCCGTGTCGTTCTGCAATCATATCAGACGTAAGTCTGCCACCAAACAAATCTTTTGCACATTCAGTCTCTGGTGGTTCCTATATATAAGGACATTTAGAAAGTGATGCCTTCTCTTGCAGATGACTAAAGGACATAAAGGAGACTGAAAGGTGCAGAGAAGAAGGCAGACCAGCTAGGGAGGAGCAACCCTGTGGTGAGTTCCCTGGCATATATTGTGATTTATAATAAATATATATTTAGTCTTTATCCACTGTGCCTGGCCTAGTCATAAGGTTAGGCAGGAGAGCAGGGGAAACATAGATTGAAAGGATGCTCCATGGGGCAGGGCCCTATGGAAATTTGAGGAGTACATTAAAATAGGACACATGGATGTCCATCAGAACTCCAGTCGGAAAGGTGATTGGAATTGACAAGCAGACATCCCCATATGCTCACTTAAGGTGGCCACCTGGGTTTATGAAGTAGGTGGACATTGGGGGATCTACAGCAATGCAGAGATGGTCTGAATGTAGACATATTCCTCTTGCACCCTCTGAGGCACGAAATGCAGTAAGTATTGTTCTATCTGCCAGCAAAAGATACCGAGACTGTAGAAGACCATGTGGCAGATTTCCCTGGTGGAAAGGCCTTGAACATAGCTGGCAAGTCAGGCTGTTTCTGGTAGCCCTAAGGCGCTATAAAAGGGTCTTGACAGAAATTGATACTGACTCTGGACTGGGTTTGGCTTACCCAGTGGTAAATGCAAATGCTCAGAGTGCTATAAAAGAACTGGGACAGAAGATAGCATGCCAATTTAGACCAATGACTGTTCTTTCTTCAGACCAAGGACCATACTCGACAGCCCATAATGTCCAACAATGGGCATTAAGATATCCTCCTTAAGAGTAATAGCTTGATACAGAATTGGAATGGACAATTAAAACATTGGTTGTCTAAAACAGGAAGATAAGAGCATAAAGGGCTGGTTTACACACCTTCATGAGAATGCTAACAGTGTGTGATCATGAGTGGGGCTAAAGGAATGTCCATAGATTTCTCTGTTTTTCTGGTGGCTGTGGGAAAGAATGCTGGTGTAACTATGCAGTTCCTGGTAAGGGAAGATGATGCTCGTATACCACTATCCTTTTTATTCTTCCCCATATTGCCTCAACTTTTGTTTCCTACCTGATCATAGGACATGGCTACAACTGTAAGGGCTGGAAATAGGGATGATTCCTTAAAAAGAAACTATGTTTCTAAACCTTCTGTCAGAAATCCTGAGGACCTGACAGGCCCCATCTGACAAAATTGGGGTTAACAGTGAATTTAGTTATATTTTCTAGGGGAAAAAATAGCCTACTACTAGTCTTGCATCTATCTATATAATCTCCCCTTATCCGCACAGGAGTGGACTGAGAGTAAAGTACTTGCTAAACTATTACTGTTGTCTACAATCTAGACCAGCATAGTGACCCAAACTATTGTCCCTTCCAAAGGTGGAAAAGTTTGGGTATAAATGGAGAGAAGAAGAAATATGGGTGAAGGAATTAATAAATATAACCTATTAATAAATAGGTTATATAATAAGTTATATAATGATGGAAATCCAGTGTTACATTAACACTTCCAAAAGAGTCTTAGAGCAGGTGATACTATCAGCTGATGAATGGATAAAGAAGATGTGGTACCTGTATACAATGGAATATTGTTCAAACATAAAAGAGAATAAAACCTTGCCATTTGCAATGATGTGGATGGAGCTAGAGTATATTATGCTAAATAAAATAAGTCAGAGAAAGATAGATGCCGTATGATTTCACTCAGATGTGGATTTAAGAAGCAAAACAGATGAACATAGGGGAAGAAAAGAAAGAAGAAAAAAGAGAAGGGAGGTGAGTGGGGGTTTTCTGACATCAGTTCCTGAAATAGCTCCAGAGGCATGAAGTGAAAACAGTGTCTAGTTATTCATAACAAGTTTCTTTCAACCACACCTGAGTTTATGTTAAAAGGTGACTTTTGGAAATTCCCTAAGGATGGGGGCTGTTTGCCAGGGAGCCAACTATGGTTAGAGGGTTGGAAGTTTCAGTTCTACCCCCTGACCTCTGGAGAAGGGAGAAGGGCTACATGTTGAATCAGTCACCATTGGCCACTGATTTGATCAGTCATGCCTACTACATAGTGGAGACATCATAAAAACCCAAAAGGAGGGGCTTCAGGAAGCTTCAGGTTGGTGAACATGTGGAGATGCTGGAAAAATGCTTTGCTCAGAGAGAGCATGGAAGCTCAGTGCCCCCTCCTATATACGTTGCCCTATGCCTCTCTTCCATCTGGTTGTTCCTGAGTTTTTTATCCTTTTATAATAAATCAGTAATCTAGTAAACCAATGTTTTCCTGAGTTCTGTGAGCTGCTCTAGCAAATTAAACCCAAGAAGAGGGTCATGGGAACCTCCTTTTGATAGCTGGTTAGTCAGAAGCATAGGTGCCAACCTGGATTTGTGATTGGTGTCTGAAGTGGGGACAGAGACAGCACTGTGGGACTGAGCCCTTAGCCTGTGGGATCTGATCCTATCTCCAGATAGAGAGTGTCAGAATTCAGCTGAATTCTGGGTCAGAGAATTGCTTATATTTGGAAAACCCACACATTTGGTGTCAGAGTGTGATTATGGTGCAGTGTGAGAGTAAAGGAAACACACAGACATGGGTTTTCCTTTACATCTGGGTTTCCTTTTTGCTTCATGTATGTGGGACTTGGTGCTAGAGACAGCAGAAACACAGAAAACAAGAGAAAACAAAAATTCACATGAACACCTGCCCTCTATAGTCAAAAGACTAGGAGAAGCAAAGCCTAATAAGCCAGAAAATGTTTACACAATAATGGGTCTACTCCAACCAAACTCCATGGAATAAATCGTGGTGCCATCTGCACCTATAAAAGCAGAACAGAAACAGAGACTTCCCTTCTTGCCTTGGTGGAACAGGGCACCTCTCTTACTGAGCAAGCAGCTTGGACCTTCATCTTCTCCCAATAGTAATGCACCTCTCCACACACAGGTGTTACTGGAGAATACTTGGGCAGCCTGTTCTGCTTCCACCCAGTAATAATGGCAGGGCATTCATGAGGCACTTCTGACTGGGAAGAGAGTCAGTGGAGGCCTATGGGGACTATGAGCTTCTACTCTAGCCTGGCAGGTAATAAAGCACATACCTCCAGGTTGTCAGCAGAGGCCATGTAGGGGAATTTGGACTTCTGCCTTCCACGTGACAGCAACATCACCTTACTTACAGTGACTAGTGACACTGACATACCATTTTTTTGTTCACATATATTTTGCCTAAATATTAACTGTATTTTTCTAGGAAATAGGAAGCTGGCTTTAGGCCCAAGAGAATGGTGGGGCTTCAGAACAGTTTTCTATCCTGTCCCATAAAATTGTACTCTTTAAGTTTTTAGGCACTGAATTCAGTGGGTACAAATGTAGGCAACGTCTTCCCTTTCCTGCCATCTCAATTTAGATGAGAACTGGCTAAAGGAGAAAATTTTAGAACCCAGATCTAAAATGTGCTTGGGAGACCCAAGTTTGGGTATCATATGAGTGAGAAGGCAATGTTCAAAATGATTATGGCCTTTGGATATATGAATTGAATTGAACCAAATGCTATGAATCATAAAACGGCTTACAATTGAGATTCCATCCAAAGCTTTCAGTTCTGGAAGATGAAATATTACAAACAACCGGTAGTTTTCTTGATTCCATACAATAATATTTCCATACAGGTCAAGAATGACCAGGTTGCATAAACCCTGGGTAATAAAAGCACATACATTTAAAGTTATATCCATATATCTCTATCTCTGTCTCTACCTCTCTCTCTCTACACACATATATACATTCATATCCATCTACCTACACACAAAGATATACATCTCCCAATAAATATATACATATATATATATATAAACTCCAGCAAGTTTTTTTCTCCTTAGTAGTTTAACCATCCTTGGATTTTAATATTTGAATTACTTAATCATCATTTCATAGTGATTTCAGTGTACATTTAGTGATATACATAGTGATTTAAGTATATATTTTATTGCAGGAGTTACCCTTGCAGACCAGTTAAGTTCGAATTTTATACAATATTTCAGTGGTATGTGTTAAATGATCAGAATCTCTTTTAGGATGCTGGTGCTAAATGTATTACTACAAGTAGTAAAGACATAGAGGGAACTTTGCTAAGGTTAAAACCATATGCTTTGTTTATGGAATACTGTCCAATTAAATAGTATGCATGTGTGTATATAGACGTAACAGGAATAAAAAACACTGCCTTCTGATGAGTGATAAAACTGATGTTATTCTATCTTCTGAGAGAGTAGCAGAATTCATCTTAAGGGAAAATGTGCTTTCTTATTAGACAGGAAATTTTGATGTGCCTTTGTTGTGCAGGAAGAGCCTAGAGTAGAGGGGGATGGGAGAGTTAGTTAGGACAAGCTGGAGAAACACTACTCTGTATCACTATGTATGGTTTATTTTTGTTGCACCTATCGCTAATCAGGTTGTCTCTGCAGCTTTAGAAGTAGTAGTTATATTGGGGGAGTAGGAAGGGAGAAGATTGAACACAAGGAAAGATAGGAAACAGTCGAAAGTTTCTGGTAGAAGGTAAAATCCTAGCGATATGTTATCAGCAAAAGGTAAAGAGGTCATCACGAGAATCCCAGTGGTAGGGAATGGCCACTGAACTTTAGAAACAGTGAAGTCACACAATGGATTTGAAGTGAATTCCTCTTCTGTGCTGTAGTAAACCTCCATTTTATGCAACTCTTCAGAAAAGCCCGTTATACAGTAGCCTTGACATAGACGTTTTGTTGGAAGAATTAAAGAGGACAAAGTTAGGCAAAGTCAGCCAGAAAGAGTTGGAGTCACCAGTAAGAACAGGTAAGTAAGTGAAAGATAATCAAGAGTTCATCTGAGAACAGGAAATGTTAAAGACTCTTACTCCTCAGCCAGACTGGGTAATCCTTGGAAATACTGAGGAAGGCACTAGTTAGAAGGGGTGGGGCTTGAATATTTTATTTGTACTAAAAAAAAAAAAAATTTTTTTCCCTAGTAGGTTGTCCACTTGGGGACATTATGTTACATATATGTATGTTTTTATATATGTATAAATTGAATGCAAGTATATTTTAGTAAACCTCGTTGTTCTTGATTTTTATT